GCACACAGATGTGTGCTGCTGAGTGAGAGCAGGGCCACCATGTAAGAACCTGGATTCCAGCAGTGCCACAGTAACCCACCAGGTGATGGCTGCTGCCTTGAATGCTGCCCCTCCAGAGTGGACCTCCTCTACCCTCTCTAACTCTTCACCTTCCTTGATGATAAAGGGCCCCTACTGTTTGCAACATAGTCCCAATTCTCTAGCATGGCTCTTAAGGCTCAGTGGGATCTGGCCTTGGTGCCTAGGGTCCTAGACCTCACTGAACAATGATCTTTGTCAGCACAAGCTTCTCACCCAACCTTTCAAGAGGCTCTCTCAAGGCAGTTTCCTGAGCCTGAGACATTCCCTCCCCTCCTACCCATCCATGCTGCCCTACTACCTGGAGATAATTACTCATTTCTTAGGTCCTGCCAGTCTGCATTTGGAGGCACTTGCCACTCACCAAGGACGGCCCAGGGCCTTCGCTCCCATGTTCGATGGGGAGGGACAGAGGCCTACAAGGATTTGGCCTTCACACAGGACACCTGGCTGACCTAGTAACTGAGATCCCCAGGCTCTCCATGCTGTCTTAGGCAAAGCTGAGCATCCCAGGAACAGGTAAGGGGATTCTGGCTAGCTGCACAGCTCCCAGTCTTTGGGTAAGAGACGCTGCTTCTCCAGGGCATCATCCTTGCTCTCATTCTCTGTGCTCTAGCAAAAGTGGAGCTGGTCCCACCCAAGGACTCAGGGAGGGAGGGAGCAGGCAAGGCAAGTGAGTAGTGCTTGAACAATGAGAACAAGCACCCTTGGCTTTAGCTCAAAGAGGCATGATCCCAGGTGGAAAGGGACATTCTAGGCTTCTGGCAACACCGAGAAAAGGAGATCTTAACGGGAGTGAATAGAATCATGATACATGTATGAAACTGACAAAACATTTTAAAAAGGAGAAGGAACTCTCTGTTCCCATTTCGATGGCTGAGAGACACAACAGGTGCCCAGAACCTGCTGAGAGCTAGAGCAGCAAAAAGGAGGCAGATCCCTGACAGCTTTGTCTAAGAAACTGCTCTCTGCCATCACTAGAACACACCACCCAGTGCCAGGCACCAACTGACTCCACTAGCACTTACGGCCATTTAGCAAGATCCGTACTTGGACCAAGAATCTTGATACCACACAGTGAACTAGAATTAAGACTTTTTTTTTTTTTTTTTGAGACAGGGTTTCTCTGTAGTTTTGGAGCCTGTCCTGGAACTAGCTCTTGTAGACCAGGCTGGCCTCGAACTCACAGAGATCCACCTGCCTCTGCCTCCCAAGTGCTGAGATTAAAGGCATACACTGCCACCACTGCCTAGCTACAGTCCCCCTTTCAAGATAACATGTTGGTAACAATCAAAAGACTCCATCAGTAGAGGTTCTGCTTAGAGATAAGCATTTGTCGGTTAATGTCATAGTCTGGGCACTAAACTGCCAATGATATGTCATGAACAACCACCTGACTATTCCATCTGCCCCGACTAAATGACTGACCAAAGTTGGTAGGTAAATAACTTAGGTACAGTTTTTCACTGTTTAGCAAAAGTAAAACCCCATGATACAGGAAAGTTTCTTTTCAGTTTGTAAGATGCGGTGTGCTGTTACAGAAAGTATTTTTTTTTTCTTTTTCTTCTTTTCGGAGGGGGTGTGCTTCAAGACAGGGTTTCTCTATACAATAGCCCTGGCCATCCTGCAACTCAGTCTGTAGACAAGGCTGGCCTTGAACTCACAGAGATTCGTCTACTGAGTGCTAGGATTAAAAACATGTGCCACCACTGCCTGGCTTAAAGAGCATTTTTAAAGCAGGGATAGGGCATGTATATCTGTATGGGCATGGGCATCTATGTCATGGTGATGTATGTCTGTAATCCCAGCACTTAGGAGCAAGAGTTTGAGGACAGCCAGAGTAAGACCTTGTCTCATTCCCCCTTACATCTCTGTGCCCTCTGCAGAAAGAAATATAAAAACCAACAACTAAAAAAATCTATTCTCAATTTTCTTAAAATGTTAACCTCTCATTCCACCAAGACTGTGCTAGATCAGGACAAGAATGCTCTGGAAGCCAGGCACGGTGGCACATGCCTGGAATCCCTATCTAGAGACTAAGGCAGGAAGGAGCATGAATTCTAGATCAATGAGGGCTATTGAAAGACCATGGGTTTTTTGGTTTGGTTTTTAAAGGATCTGGGACTGTCACTGATAACTAGGATGGTGATCTGCTAGTTTACTGAAAGCTGTCCTGGCTTTAGCACTGAAAGTCCTATGTCCTGGGAACCCCCCTCCCCCAAGTACAGGACACACTTTAAGTGTTTGGCATCCAACATGTCAGAAAGCCTCTTCCTACTCACAGCCTTGTTTCCTGTAGCCTCTAACTCCAGCTGGATCTGCGGCAAACCTGACTATGGTGCCCACAAAGTGGCTGTGACATATGCTGGCTCTTTCCCATTTGGGGGACTCTGAGCTAGTGTTTCCTCCTGCAGAAAAATCCTAGGAAGGGATTCTACAGACCCTAGGCCTGCAGCAGTTCCTGCATTTGACACATTGTGGACTCCTGACTCCACTGTGGTCTCCAGGGGGAGCCAGCAGACTTCCCAGGGAACTAGCTGCTCTGTACCAGAAGGTGCTTACTATCACAGCCAGATGTAGGGCAGCACAAGCTCTGGGGTAGGCACTGGCTGTCTGTGTCCCTTTTCCAAGTCACCCTGGAACCTTTAAGCCCCATGCCAATCAATACCCTGGTTCCTGAGGCTGTGATAGTGATCAAACAGGTCAGTATAAACCAAGGCAGGCAAGTTCTTTTTCCAGTGACCTCAACAAGAAACCTGAAAAATTGCCAGGAATTTGGGAAGGAATCTGAGGACCCTTACATTCCGAGGTGCGCACTGGTTGGCCAGCAAAGATCTCATTGACCATGACATGTAACCCAATCAAAAGTTTCTTCAAACTGAGAAGTTTTCCCCAGAAAGACAGTGTAACAAGGAAACTAGAGTCAGATCTGACTCTGACAGTTGTTTCACCTTGGGACAGGCAGTCTAAGCTCTCTAAGTCTAGAGACTTGTGATAACTAAAAGAAAACAGGAAATCTTAGGCAAGAAAAAGGAACAAAGGAAAAATAAATGGGAGTTTAGAACTCGCAGCACTTAGGAGCAAGAGTTTGACGACAGCCAGAGAAAAACCTTGTCTCATACCCACTTACATCTCTGTGCCCTCAGCAGAAAGAAATATAAAAACCAATTTTATTCTCGAATTTCTTAAAATCTTAACTTCTCATTCCACCAAGACTGTGCTACAGCCTGAGCTGAGGGAGAGTCAGCAGGTGCTTGGGTTGGTCGCAGGCCCAGCCCCTCAGGATACACCCTCCCCTTCACAACCATATCCACCCACACATTCCTCAAATCCTTCAGTCTTCGGCCACTCATCCACACTACACTTCATTTCTGGGCCATCTGCCATCCCAGTTAATATTTCTGCATCCCAACCAATCCCCCCATTCTTGCCCTCCACCTCCTTCCTATCTTTGGCTTCTCTCTCCAGCCCCAAACCATCCTATTCTCCACACTTGGGGGATCCATAAATATTTACTAAATGCTTGCTTGCTTCATCATAGAAGCATTCTATACCCCAGAGATCAAATGAGAAAACCCCATGTAATTTTTAACTCACCAATCCTTTCTAGGGACCCCTGTCTTCCTTTCTATTGTAACCTGACCACCCTCCTATCCCCTCGCTTTACTTAGCATTAGAAATCCTGGGCTTCCCCCCCTCTCAAAATAAGCTGCTTCCCCCCACCTTTAGCACCCCACCTCCAGTTCTCTCCCTGAAGCCTCTCCCTCCTCACAGGTCTCCATCTTCCACTACTCTCTCAATTTGCATCCCCTGCCTCCTTGACGTTCTGCAACTCTTGCCCAATTTATTCTTTTCTTCTTCTTTTTCTCCACTCCTTAAGTATTCACTGAGTTCTTACTGTGCACCAGGCACGTGCTACATCTTGGAATACAACTGCAAAGAAACCAAGCAGCCTCTTATGCCTTGGGAGTATCAGTTTAACAAAAGCTAGAAGGAAACCAGCGAACCATAGAAGACAGCAGGGGTGTGATGAATGAAACCACGAGACAGAAGGGGACTGGGGTGGGCTGGGTAGGCTTGGCTACCACTATTAGCCACTTGCTGTGTATCAGTCCTGGGTGATCACTCTGCATTCACCACGTCAACCTAAGCCTTGTACCGTTCATAGTTCCCAGCTGGTTATGGTAACTTGGAAAAGGAAAGAGATAAAATATGATCAAGGTCAGTCATTAAGTGGCTGAGTCAGGATTTGAACACAGGTCTAACTCCAAAGCTAGCCTCTTTCTGCGTCCCCAGGGACTCTGTCAGCCACCTGTCCTCTCCCAAAGTGTTACTGCTGACTATTCCTCTAGATTTTCTTCTGAAAACACTTGTGTCTTTAATCACCACTTCTTTTTAGAGCACTGTACATGTTCTGCGCGTTTATGTTCATTCTCCTATCCAACCAATCCTAAAAATAACCACATAAAGTGGTACTGTCCCTCTAATGGTTTTACAGATAAGGAAACTGAAGCTTAAATGCATACTGCTAAATTTGAACCCACAACTGGCCGATTCCGGGGCCTCTGGCCCCTAAACTGATAGTCCAAGAAGTGTCACCCCGAGACGCTCAGTGGCCACCGTCTGCCCCCATCAAGACAACTCCAGTCCACAAACCGAAAACTCGTCGATGCCCTTACTTTTTAGATTAGGGGTCTAGAGACGAAAAGTCACGCGGCTTGTCCAAGGTCACTGGGCCAGGAGCGACAGGGTCAGGGTTCGAAGCCAGGTGCCCTGACTCCAAAGCCTCGCGGATAACCAGCACAGTACCCTCCCGCGGCGACCCTGTCCACCTCGCACCTCGGCGCCCAGCGAGCCAAGCCCGCGACTGCGCGTCCGCGCCCGGCCCCGCGGCCTCCCCGCCGCGCGCCCCGCACACTCACTTCAGGTGGTCCAAGGAGTGGATGTTGCGGGAGGACTTGCCGTGGCCCCCGCCCACCCAGCTCCGCGAGCGGCCGAACATGTCCGCAGCCCAGCCCCGCCGCCCGCCTCAGGTTTTCATGTCCGATCCGCCCAGCGGCCAGGCGTCCGGGGCAACATCTCAAGCCCAGCCGGCAGCAGCGGGGGCGGCGGAGAGACCGGCAAGCACCTTCCTCCCCCGCCCACAGCCCCGCACTGACATTCAGCCGGAACCGGCCGTTCGACCGCCGCGCTTTACGGCTGCCGTCGCGTGGAACTCTGGGAAATAAAGTTCTCTAGTGAGGCCCCCGGCGACGGGACTCTGCGAACGGACTACAAGGGCCGGCCTGACTCTCGCGGCCGTCGAGAAGGGGCGGGGCAAGAGGGAAGGAGGCGGGACACTGTCGGGGTGGGCAGGAACGGAAAACTGTGGGCAGAGCTTTTGGGGATCACTTTGTTAGCTTCGTGATTAGAAAAAAAAAAAAAAGAGTGTGGACTGAAACCCCAGTTCCTAGAGAGGTTGAGTCAAGAGGTCAACAAGTTTGAGATTTGGCGAATTTTAGTTCTCTTAAATAAAAAGGAAAAAAAAGTTACATTTTATTGTGTGTGTGTGTGTGCGCGCGCGCGCGCACACACACACACACACGTGAAAAATTAGAGTACAAATTTTGAAAGTAGGTTCTCGCCTTCCACTATTTGGGTTCTGGGAATTGAACTCAGGTCTTCTATTTATTTATTTATTTATTTATTTATTTATTTATTTATTTATTTATTTATTTATTTTTGGTTTTTCGAGACAGGGTTTCTCTGTGGTTTTGGAGCCTGTCCTGGAACTAGCTCTTGTAGACCAGGCTGGTCTCGAACTCACAGAGATCCGCCTGCCTCTGCCTCCCGAGTGCTGGGATTAAAGGCGTGAGCCATCACCGCCCGGCTGAACTCAGGTCTTCAAACTTGACAAGTATCTTTTAACATCTAAGTCATTTTGAGGGCCCTAATTCTCTTTTAATTTTGTAAAGGGTTGGGAATGTGGCTTGTGTAATATGGGCTTAATCTTCAATATTAGTATAGTAAGAATTAAATAAAAATAAAGACATTGGGTGGTGCATATCATATGTCACTATCCTAGGTGACTTACTATTTAATTCTTACAACCAACCTCATTTTACTATCCAGGAAACTGAATCAGGGAGAAGTCAGGCACTTGACATGTGGCAGGGGCAGGATTCAAGCTCCAGTATTCTTATTTGCTCTGTCAACGAAACAAATCAGTAACATCCTTGTTTCTCCATAAAACCCTTTTTCCTTTTGCGCATCAGTCTTACAACATTTTGGGGAAATGCAAACAACAATGAGCCAAAGCTAAATACAATTCACTTCCAGAGGTTTCCTCTGGTCTTCATCCAAAATCCATACCATTCCCCCCCCCAAAAAATACCTTAAGAAAGAAAGGAAACTCCAAGCTTCCTACATGAACTTACACATACCTGAATTTCCCTCTTAGATTGGAAATGGGAACCTCAGTGGGAAGCAAGACTTTGGGGCTCAGCACCGACTCCTTTGTTTATTTCTATGACTCATAGCTACTTAATTCCTATGGTAGCCCATTAACTGTCCCAAGAAGAGAACTGAGTCAGGGGCTAATGTTCTCTCCAGGGCCCAGGACAAGATTTGGCACATAGTAGGTTTTTAGTAAATATTGATAGAGTGAATAAGTGATGGTTTGCATTGCTTTCGAGAATTAGAGAAATGGAGACCAGTGCCAGGTCTCCTCTGTAATCGAGCTGGAGAGACAATAAAAGTCATGAAAGAACACGAGCGGGTTCTGACCCCAGGGAAAAATATCCCCAGCTCAGCAGCTTTAAAGATCCGTTACTCTGGGACTTGGTTTTCTCGTCTGGGAAAAAGAATGCATAATGCATTGCCTTGTCCAGTGCCTATGAAGCTAAGTGTGACCTTAGATTAAAGAGCTATTAAGAGCTGGGGATAGGCTGCACGTGGTGGCAGAGGCCTTAATCCCAGACTCAGCAGGCAAAGGCAGGTGGGGCGCTATGAGTTTCAGGCCAGCTTGGTCTATAGCCAATTTCAGGCCAGTCAGAAGCTACACAGTGAGCTCGTTTTTTAGTGTTGTTTTGTTTGTTTGTTTTATCAAGAACTGAATAGCTCTTGTCTACATCTTTCACACACAAGACCTTGGTTTTGATCCCCAGCTGTTTAAACTCTGTTGGGAGGCACTTTTGGCAAACTCATCCTCCTAAGGAGGCACAGGGGTTGTTGTTTTGACAGAGGAATCTGAGCAGACATTTTCAATTACTTAGCATACTAAGTAATTGTATTAAAAAAAAACAGTATTTTTTTTTTTAAAAAAACATGGACTACAAAGTAAAAAGAAACAATAAGCAACCATATGGCAGAAGATTTGACCTGCCTGCGGTACTCTCCATTTGGGAGTCATGGAAGTAAGAGGTACTGATTTTTCTTACTCTGCCGTGAAAAGAAAGCGCCTTGGAACTACCTAAGATTTTCGGTGGAACTGCCGGCATCCCTTCGCTACCTGGCTTCATTTCAAATGGGGAAACTTGAGAGTTCCAAAGAGGTGAGGCACAATACCTAAGCAAAGGTTAGGGAGCGCCAACTTCAGGAGAGCAATTTAGAGACTGGTGCACCTCCCATGGGGCGGAGCAAAAAGTACCAACCTCCCCCCCCCCCCTCGACAAATCAAGCCAATGAGGGTGGAGCATTGAGCTAGCCAATAAATGCGAGTGAGCATGCGACTGGCCAATGAGCACAAAGCCTCTGGGTAGGAGGTGCTGGGAAGCTGCAGAGCTACGCGGCGGTCGCAGCGATGGGCCGTGAGCCTGCGGGGGTGCGGACCCGGCTTCAGAAGAGGCTGGGGGAGACGACCCTGGGGACCCAGCCTCGACTCTGAGCTGCGGCGGGGGTGCGCGAGCGCGGCGCACCGAGCGAGCCCCTGGCCGCTTCTAGGGGGATCCTGAGGGGTGAGCGGCCCGTGTGGCCCGCATCCCGATTCCGGGTCGCCGTGACCCGGTCCCGAGCATCTCGGGGGTCAAGGAGCGCTTTCGGTGGCCGCCCGGGGCCCAGCGCTGCCGCCACCGAGCCCCGGGGCGCCCCCTGAATGGCCGAACTGCCTCCTCGCCGGCCGCCCGGGCGCCGCAGCGGCTGAGGTCGCTGGGACCGCCCGGCCGCCGCCCCCACCGCCGGCCCCTGCATGCCCGGTGCCCGCGTCGCAGCCCACCTGGACGCTCTGGGCCCCCTGGTCTCATACGTGCAGCCACCGCTGCTGCCCTCTATGTTCTACGTGGGCCTGTTTTTCGTCAATGTGCTGATCCTCTACTACGCCTTCCTCATGGAATACATCGTCCTCAACGTGGGCCTCGTCTTCCTGCCCGAGGACTTGGACCAGGCGCTGGTGGACCTCGGCGTACTCTCCGACCCTGGCTCTGGCCTCTATGATGCCGATTCGGAGCTCGACGTCTTTGATGGATATTTGGAGTAAGGTCCCCACACTTGCCCTCCACCATCCGCAACTCTTGGCCTGGGCCAGCTGTCCATATGCCCTGCCACTAGTTGGGGGCACCATCTGGACCGGAATGGGACCCCAGGAAGAGGCCCGTAAGTGCCCTTGAGATGGGGATATATTGCGGGGGAGGGAGAAGGTGGTGTCCTCAGGGCAGACTAAAATCCTTTCCCCAGGCCTCTGGTTTCTCCTCTGGGTCTAACTCGAATTCTAGGAATAGTGGAGTCTGGAGAGATTTCCCCCAATGAAAGGGACCAAGGATCTACATTATCGTTTGGAGTAATCTTGCAATTTGCCCCCTTGACTTGTGCAAAAAGATTTGAGGTGGAGCTGCCCCCCCCCCCAGTATAAACCTGTCTTGTCGGTGACCTTGGGGTATGGGGAATTCTCCCTTGTCCTAGAAGGATAGACTGCTGTCATAAGAGGCACTGGTCACTTTGGTTTTGTGACTTCCTGAGGGACTAGTTAAACTCAGGGACCTCAGGCCAAGGCCGGCAGAACAGAAACCTTCAGCAGAGGACGCTGCACTTCCTTTTGGCAGTGTGTCTGCTGCTGTATTTGGAGTCAGGTTTCAGAGCTCCTGGATTGATCCCCAGCTCAGATCTGCAGAGGCTGTCTGTTTCATAGGCTACCTCTATAGAACAGGCAGGCAGTTCTGAGCTGCAGCTGGCTTTGTCTGCAGTATTTGCAAGGCCTTCAGGGACAGTAGGGTCAGCAGAAGGAACCACAGGATGGTTTGCACTAAAGACCTGCCTTTGAGCTTCTGCCAGAAGCTTTGTCGTAGCTAGAGGTAGAGTAATGTGAGTCAAGGGAGGAGTGAGACTGGCTAAGTCTTCTAAGCACAGGGGACAGCTGGGCTATGTGAGAGAGAACATTTGTGCCAGGCAAGCTGTTGGGTCCAGCAATAGGGCAGGCATTGCCTTATAGCTGGGTAACACTGGAATTTGGCAGGCCACAGAACCTGAGTGGCAATGAAGGGTCCTATGAAACTGGTGGGCAGGGGCTCCTTTTAGATAACAGACACTAATGTCACTCACCCCAGGGAGGCTCCTGTGTTACCTGATTGCCAACTCTGCCATAAGAGGGTATTTTAGTTTGGGATACTATTCCGGAATACCATGACTCAGACTGCAAACATCATTCTCATAGTTTTCCAAAGGGCACTAATCCTATGAGAGGGCGCCACCCTTGTGACCTAATCATCGCAACAGCGTCACTGCAGGCACAGGACTTCCATCCACCCTCATGACCTAATCACTCCCAACACCATCACTTGAGGATCAGGGTTCCGGTGGTGGAGTTTGGAGAACACTGTTGGTTGTAGAAATAGTGCACAGTAAGCAGGAGCTATTTGGGGGCAAAGCAAGGTATCTTTGAAGAGCTCTTTGGCTAAGGTTAGTGACATCGTCACAGGAGCCAAGCACAAGGCAGGGCATGTGCCCGCTGCTCTGCTCCGCATTCCTGTCAGCCCGACATCCATGGTTTCATTGAACAAATGCCTGTTTGTTGAGTACTTGGTGAGCAAAAACAGATGGAACCTGGCACACAGGCCTTCGATGAGGAACACGAGTGGGCACTCAGAAACGCAGTGAGCAGTTTAGGGGTTCTGCTGCTGTGTTCGCTGCTGTTTGCCCAGCGCCTGACCTCTGGCAGATGCTCTCTGAGGAGTGACCACGAGAGCAGAGTCGGCATGGGCTGCTTTAGTTAGAGGGTCAGAGACGGCCTCTCTGAAGAGATGAAAATATGAACTGAGTCCCAAATTGATAGAGCTAGCCAGAGAGCTCTGGAAAAAGCAGTCTGAGCAGAGGGAATTGCTAATGTCCACACCTTGAGATAGGAGAGGGCCCGCTCATTCAGCAGCTGGAAAAGAGGCAGGAGACACAGAAGCAAAAGAGGTCAGTGGTGGCCCTGAGATGCCATGGCCAAAAGCAGTTATAATTGCGATGGTCCTAGGAGGGCATGACACAGTCCATCTGTCTCACTTTCTCTGAAGGCAACTGGCAGCCATGGGCAGAATGCAAGGGCAAGAGTAAGAGCAAGGAAGCCAGTGAGGAGGCTGTTAGCTGTCTGTCAAGCAGTGACGGGATTGGACAGGATGAGGCCAGTGAGGAGGCTGTTAGCTGTCTGTCCAGCGGGGACGGGATTGTACAAGATGAGGCCAGTGAGGAGGCTGTTAGCTGACTGTCCAGCGGGGATGGGATTGGACAGGATCAGGCCAGTGAGGAGGCTGTTAGCTGTCTGTCCAGCGGGGACGGGATTGGACAGGATGAGGTTAGTGAAGGCCATGCACGCACTGGGAACACCTAACAGAGGTGGGATCTCCGGGATCCAGTCAGAACTGGAGTAGAGACCAGGCGCCCTTCCTGGCTCTAGCTCCTCTGTGTGTCCACTCATGTGGTCATTCGACAAGCATTGGTCCTTCTTTTCCTCACAGAGTCTAGACTATGCCCGTGATCCTAAGCTGCACCTCTGTCCCTGAGCCAAGTAGACTATCAGACAGTCGAACTTGGTGAAAAAATGTCTTATTTTATCTTCTTACTATATCAACAGAAACACTGCTGCTTCCAAATGAAAACATTGGCATATTCTAAGCTGAAATCCAAAGCCCAAATGCTTTGACATATTTTTCAGCAAATGCTGTTTGAGCAGAAACACCAAGAAACATTCCTTTGGGACTTTCTTGCCTGACCCTGGGGGTAGGGAGCATAAGGAATATAGAGGATCCCACATCCAGGGCTGGAGACTAATGAAACCCACACACTATGCCTTATGTCCCCCAATGCAAGCTAGAAGACTTTGGTCCCAGGCCAGAAAGGCCAGACCCAAAGGATGCTGGAGGGGTGACTGGTAGCAGCCTTGAGGACAGTGACCCAGCTTCACTCCTGGCCCCTTCTATCAGCAGGGGAGCCCCCGGACCAAGTGTGCTTTTTCCCACTCCTGCTCACATGACAAGCCAGGACAGGAAACTCTAACAAAGGGCATGGACACAGGACATGCCAGGCAATGTCGGCATGAAGAAGGGCGCCCACTTTTCCTCACTGGGTCCTTCTTGTCTTGTGTCTACACATGTAATTTAGCTTCTCATACCTTTATTGAGCACTTATTTGAGTCTATGTTGAGTCAGAGTTAAGAGTAGTAACTCTAAATTCAGATTTTCTAGACTTAAGTTGCAGGCCTAGCCACAGTTTGGGAATGTCATTTAATTCCACGTTAGCGGCCTCTTTATGAAATAGGGGTAATAAAAATTTACCTTGTTGAGAGGACAAAGAGTTAGACCCCCTTGTATGGTAACTGGCCCATGAACAGCCTCTGTTACTGACAGGTAGGTGCAATCTGGAGCTAACTGCCTTCACCTGCCTTGTGCATTAATATTTATGGCCCATGGCTAGCAAAAGTACCAGCTGCATGAGCTCAGGTCCACACACACCTACCCGTATCTCCCTGCCTTTCTGAGCCCTAGAGACTCTTCCTCATGCCCATAGTCCCAAGGGCACTGGTTCTGAAGTTGTGGAGAGCGGTTTCTAGAGTGTTCAGTGTGGCCCAGGGGAGTAGGGGATGGAGCTCCTTGCTTACTGGGGGAGAAGATTGGGTGCATGCCTGGGAGCCTTAGGTGTGTGTGTGGAAGGGGGTGCTGACAGCTCGTCTGTTAGGTTAGAGAGGCAGCTTAGCCTGGTTGGTTATTTCAGAGTCCTAACGGGTGGTTGCTGTTGGCTGGACCATCCATGGCCCCTGAGATACAGTGGAAGAGGGACTGGGGTTGTTGTCAAGTGTGACTGTGGAATAGGGGTGACTGACTCCTTCATCTGACTGACTGCTTTCTTGGCCTTCCCTGCCAGGCTGTACCCTGTGCTATCAGCAGAATGCCAAGCTGCGCATGCCACTGTCCAGCCAGGATGCCAGTCACTCCCATGGGGTCACCCATATACTCAGGTTCCAACTATGGGAGACCCACAGGTAGTCTGTGGTGCTGGTCAGGGTGAGGGCTAACAGGAAGGAGGCTGTTGTGTAGACAAGAGGATCTAGAGGTGTGGGCGGCAGGTGCATGCCCTGGTCTGCCGTGAGACACCCAGAGGGCTCCCTGGTCACAGTTCTATGACAGTTCTGGCCATCCCTTCGGGAATAAAAGAACTCCAGGCCAGCTGAGAATACAGTGTGAATCCAATGGCCCTATGCCCTTGGCTCTGAGTTAACACAGGCTGGAGATTCCAGCCAGAAAAGCAAAGCCTACATTACACCCTCTTCCCAGGCTTGGGATCTGTTTAGCTTGATGAAAAACAGGTGGACTTCTCTCAGCTATTACTGCTGCCTTCATCCTGGACCTTCAGAGAGCACCAGCTGCATTTGGGAAACGAATATCACATTGAAAGAGAGAGCCTTTTCTTTATTTCTTTTCTTTTATTTTTTGAGACCCTCACTTGGTAGCTCCAGCTAGCCTCAAACTCAAGATCTTGCCTGCCTCATGGCTGCTGACTTAATCCAGCCCTGCAAATAAAGAAACTGAAGACCAGAAAGTGAGGGTCTCAGAGAACAAGGCCAAATAAGACAGCAGTGTCTCCCACACAGTGGCCCCCCCCAGGGAGCAGAAGAGCCTCCTTGAGGACCTGTCTCCCATGCCCCCTTCAGGACCAGCTCACAGCCTCTCCAGGCCCATCTCTTCTACATGCTTGTACCTTTTTTCCTGAATTCATCCAAAAACCTTTTAGAAAAATTTAAAAGTTCCACCCTTACAGCAAAGTTTCCAGAAAAGTCTAAAGAACTCCTGTGCTCCCCTCACCAGAGCCTGCCAGCTGACATCCTGTCCATGTGCTCGATGAAAACTCACGTTCTTCTGTGACTACGCATGCATGCACATGAACACACACACACTCATGTGCACAGTCATGTCTGAAACATTTCAGAGTGCCTGTGGACATGATGTTCCTTTGGTCCTGAATATTTTGCTCTATAACTTCCTAAAACGAGGACATACTTGGTATCTGTCAAAACCAGCAAAACGCTGTTTTTGAGATGGGCTACTTCTGTAACCAAGACTGACCTACGACTCCTGAACCCCTGCTCTACCTCCCGAGCACTGGGATTACAGGTGGGTACCACCACGCCTAGCTGGAGTCAGAAACTGCAACAGGGATCCAACCCTTGGAGCATGCTGATCCATGGCTTTGTTCACATATTACTATCTGTCCCAGGGATGTCCTTTAACAATAAACTTGTGGGGGGGCTGGAAAGATGGCTCAGAGGTTAAGAGCATTGCCTGCTCTTCCAAAGGTCCTGAGTTCAATTCCCAGCAACCACATGGTGGCTCACAACCATCTGTAATGGGGTCTGGTGCCCTCTTCTGGCCTGCAGGCATACACACAGAATATTATATACACAATAAATAAATAAATAAATAAATAAATAAATAAATAAATAAATAAAACAATAAACTTGTGGGGTCTGAGGCCACTGCTTTCTTATTCTGGCCTGGCCTCTCTTGGTGACACTGGCACTTTTCAAGAGGCCAGTCTGGCATTGTGGGCTGTTTCTGCCTGGGGTTGTTAGGTGTCCATACTCTGGATGCTGTTCAAGTGATGTGGTCTTAGCAGGAAGGCGACAGAGAGTATGTCCTCAGTGCAGTGCTTTGAGAGGCACACATCACCTGTCCTATTGCTACCGGTCCTGTTGATGTCATCCTGGCTTTCCACTGTTGAGTTACTGCTTTTCCTTTTATAGTTTAAGTTTACTTAATAATCCCAGTTTTAGCACTTCATTTGTTTTGTTTTGTTTTTTAAGTCTCTTTTATGTGGACTTTTTATTTGTTTTTGTTTGAGACAGGTAGTTCAGGCTGTCTTTCTACTCACTAGCCAAGGATGCCCTTGGACTTGTTATCTTGCTGTTTCTACCTCCCAGGTGCTGGGATTTTAGTCCTGGGTCACTATGCCTGTTCTGTGCTAATAGATGTGCACCACAGTGCCCAGTTTATGTGGCACTGGGGTGGGATCCAGTTCTGTGTGGATACTCAGAAAGCAAGCTACCAACCAAACTACAGCGCCAGGCCCTCTGGACTTAATTTTACTTATTTTTAGGTGTTTCTGCTGATCCAACCCAGTGCCGCACACATCCTAAACACACACCCTACTACAGAGGTGCACCCCCAGACTCAGTGGATCTGTCACTGTGAGAAGGAAGCCACTCTCACACGGCATAGATGAAAACAAGTGCCCGAGTCATTAGTTTCTGTTCGAGTAGGAAAGCAAGCGATGGCAGAGGCTGGGCCTGCTTTATGTGTTGAAATACTACTACCAGATAAACGTTCCTGGCACCAGACTGGGACTCTTTCTGTGATGTAGTACGGCTTTACCAAGAGCTGCAGAGCAATGTGTGCTTGCTGTAGAGGTGTGGTGGTTCCAGCCAGCTCATGTGACCCCCTGAAATTGTTTCCTAGAGCTTTTGTAATCACATTTGGGGTTTATAAGTCCCAGTTCACCCACCATCTTAGACATGTGACATCACCTCCCCCATGCCTCAGTTTCCTTCTCTATGAAATGGGAATAATGTTACCTGCTTGGGGACATGCAGTGATTCAGTGGATTGGTGACTGGTGTATAGTTGTATGCAGCACTATGTGGGGTGTTAGACCCAGGGGATCCCTAACCCCAGAAACCTTCCCCCTTTCCTGGGAGTTCTTGCTCTTCTGGCACAGTAACCAGTAGAGAGCATCATTGTGGATTGCCTGTGAAACAGCCTGGGGGTGATGATGCTCGGTACCCCCAGAGTGTCAACCAATGCTGGTACCCTTGCAGCTATCATCCCCGGTCCCAAAAGGAAGGCCTTCCCGGGCTTCCTGGCTAGTAGGAAGATTGACTGGGAGGTTAGAACTGGGTGCCCCTCCCACATCTTCATAGCTTCCCCTGAGCGTCACCTTGTGATGTTGTCTGGGAAGGGCTCATTAGATAGGGAAACTGAGGCTTGGGAGGGTCAGTGACTCGCCTGAGAGGCCCAGCTATGAGGTAGTGCGTTGGCCCTCAAGCCATTCCCACTTGCCCAGAGTTTCTGAAGTGAGGTGCTGGCTTGGAGGAGTCCCTTTAAGGTACCAGAGGAGTCAGGCTCATGGTACCCTTACCTTCCTGCTTTTCCCTTCCTGGAGCAGAGGCTCCAGGCACGGAGGCAGATGAGTGGCTTCCTCTCTGTGTCTTTAGCGTTACTACATTACCTTTGTTATGACAAGTACTGTTTTCTTCCCCATAGTTATGATATAAACATTTCCCTTGAGACTTCTAGTTGTGGTGGCACATGCCATTAATTCCAAAACACAGGAGCATGAAGCAAGAGGATCCTGAATTTGAGGCTAACCTATGACTGTATAGTGAGACCCCATATCAAAACAACAATAAAAACACTCTTGAATTGTGCCAGGTGAAGTGGCTAGTACCTCTAATTTCAGCACTGGGGAGGCTGAGCAGAAGCATCTGAGTGCTAGTCCAGCCCAAGCTACACAGTGAAACTCTTTCTTGGGGAGAAAAAAAAAAGAGATGCAAAAACTACATTGTTTGGGGCTTGAGACATGGCTCAGCAGGGAGAGGCACTTGCTGCCAAGCTCGTGACCGGACATAGTGGAAGGAGAGACCAGTCTCATGAGAGTTATCCTCCTACCTTCATACTAGGGCCATGGCAGGGAGATGAAGGGCATTTTAGGCTGCATCTCATTACTGTACTCGAATATTACAGAATCCAAAACACTCTGGTCCAGGCATTCTAGAGAGGAGACACTCAACTTGCCTAAATAACTAATGTCCGGGTGATGTGTGACAAGCCTTAGGAGCTGCTGGGCAGGCAAAGCAGGGGAGTCGGGGACCGCTGCAGACAATACTGTAGATGACCACTCACAGCCCGTGTGGGGTTGGAATTCAGGCCTAAGAAGCTGGTTCTCGTCAGGGACTGGCCCATGTGGAGACAGGAAGCTTCTCTCCTTCGGGAGGCGACCAGATTGCTACCACACCCTTGGCCACGAGCCAGATGGCCTCCTGCTACACAGTCTGCCTCCAGCACAGAGATCCCAGGTTTCGGCAAAGCCTTTGGGTGTGTGAAGATAGAGGGATGCCCAGGGGCTTTCTAGAAGGCTGTCTGTAAGAGAAGTCCCAAGCCCATAGTGCCACGAAGGCTGATTTCTATTCTTTCTGCCTACCAACTCAGCTGTTACTACTTATATGTATTTGTGTGTGCAGGGGTGGGCATGTGCATGCCGTGCTGTATAGGTCACAGGAAAACTGGTAGAAGTTGGTTTTTTCCTTCCACTATGTGGGGGCTGGGAGTTAGACTCAGGAGGCCAGGCTTTTTGGCAAGTTCCTTTATCAGCTGAGCCACCTCGCTGGCCCCAGAATTATTCTTTATATAGTTGTTTTCTTTAAATCAAGTTTTAAAATGATCTGTTTATTATGTGAATGTTCCTGTTTGAGTCATGTCATGTAGGAGACCATGAGGTCAGAAGAAGGCGCTGGATTCTCTGGAACTGAAGTTAGGTAGTTGTGAAGTACCATGTGGGCTTTGGGAACAGGACCTGCGTGCCCTGCAAGAGACGCTCTTAACTGCTGAACCATCTCTCCAGTCCTTAAGTTGGCTTTTAAGTGTTAAAAAAAAAAAATGCTTTGAAAGGAGAAAAACTTGTGTGAACAGGCACCTGTCTTCATTGGCTATAACTGAGAGACTCAGCAGATGTCCCAGAAGTCAGCAGTATCTGCTAAAACCTATGGCAAAGTGTGGGTACAGGGATAGAGCTCCTGTGACAGCAGGCTCAGTCAGACCAGCAGCTGCTGGGACCGAGTGAGGCCTCCTGGGTGACTCTGACTCCTCCCACCTAGCTGGGCATCCCTGCAGTAGGCATCGAGGAGGGTGAATCCCAGTAAAAGACTGCTTCAGGCTTCTAAACATGAAGTCTTTCAGCTGTAACGTGTCTCCCCCAGGGTTCCTCGGAGGGAAGAGCTGAAAGAGCAGCTCCAGGTGGGCCCTGGTGTGATGGGACAGGAGTCTCAGAAGGTATTTGTAGCTGTGGCCCTGCTCTCCACAGGTTCTGTAGGCAGCTGGGAGGAGGCCAAAGGGATACAGGCCCAGGACGCGGGGGAGTGGGGAGGATGTCAGTGGGAACTAGGGAAAGTTCCTGAGCCATGGCGGTGTCCTCAGCTGGCCTTTAGTAGATGAGTCTGGCGGAAGAAGGGAGAAACTTCAGCCTATGGCTTCCACCCCCACCCTGTTCAGAATGAAGAGACAGTTAAGCCCCATCTCCTCTTGGGTGCCTTCCTGTGCAGCACAGCCCTCTGTGGACCTCCATCCATGCCCACAGCCTTGTCCCTTCGTTGGGAGGACTACTCCAAGCTGAAGCTGCTCGCAACTCAACACAGTGCATGGCGCCTTCTTCTAGCTTGGGGCCCAGCCTGTAACACAGTGGTATGTAAAGACTGAACAGTGGCTGGTAATACACAGCATGTGTTTTGTTTGTGGAAACAGGCTCATTCTATATGGCCCAGCCTGGCCTCAAACTCACTCAGTCCTTGCTCTGTAGCCCAGGCTGGCCTCTAACCTGCCATTCTCTGGCCTTAGCTTCCTAGTGCTGGAATCACAGGACCAGGGCACACCTGGGCAGATTTCAGGGCTTCTAAGCGGAGCATCTTTCAACAAGTATCTTATGCTCTCTGGGCCTTGATGCCTAAAAGACGGAGCAACACCAACTCATGGGTGGATAACAAGGGTGGAGACAGCCATGCGCCCAAGTGCTTATTAGGGAGGAGATCGTAGGAACTCCATGTGGAGGTGGAAGTGAGGTCAGCAAGGTGGAGCAGGTGGGCACTGAGCAGGCTACGATTGTAGTCTGGGGCTCAGTCCTGCTCAGAAGCCAGAATGGGCATAGGACGTGCCTCATGGCACCTCAGGTACTGGGGGGTGGGGGGAAGTGCTCCACTGTCTTCTTGGCAGTCCCTGGTGGGAGGCAGCTTACTATGAAAGGCATCAGCGATCCTGTTCTTACAGCTGGGCCAGGCATTCTCTGGAGCAGGACCAGGGCACCCAGGGCTGAGGAAAGTATGTGGAAGGAAGGGGTAAGTCACATGACAAGAGCGCTGGGTGTGGTGGCACTCAGATTGTGATTGTCCCCATTTGTTACCAGTGCATGCCAGCTCTGCCTGCCCTACTTGTGCAACTGCAGGCAACTCACCGTGCTCTGAGCCTCAGTTTTGTAACCTATAAAATGGGCAGAGGCACAGCTCCTAGTGGAAATGGTTATACCTGCTTAGTGGCTCTCAGAAATAGGGGCGACAGTTCTAGCAGCTACGGTGACTGGTTGGCAGCAGGGCTACTGGTAAATACGTGATGCCGGTGCTAGCCCCACACGGCCCTGATGCCGTTCATCTGTACACACTGCGTGCTTCACAGACAGTGAGCATCCTACTGATGACCAGTGGTGTTTGTAGAGGGAAGAATCTGAGGGGGCTGAAAGGACAGGGAACCTGGGCACCTCACCATTGGAGAGGTGTTGGCAACAGCTGAACATGGGACTCGGGATTGGAGGAGACAGGGCCAAGACTTACAAGTGATGCTGTGTCATGGGCAGAGGAGCCAAGAGGGGATAGGGTTGGCAGGCTGCATCGAGTGAGCCTTCCTGTAAGCACGGTGCTTTCTGGGTGAGGTGGGAGGCACTGCCCAATCCCTGGAGCTTGTTCAGCTTCCCCCGCTTGACCTCCTTCATAGCTGGCCTCCTTCTCCTGCCTCAGCATCTCTCTCTCCCTTCTGATCACCTGGGCAGCCCTCTTCTCCATTGGAAAACTGCCCTGGTTCCCCAAGGTCTCAGAAGGGAAGCAAATTCTCTAATAAGAACTTGGAATAAAAGCAACTCAGTTAGTAGAATGCTTGCTCAGGAAAAAGAGAGGAAAAAAAAAAAAAAAAACAGTGTAGCCTGAGCATGGGGCTTCTGGAGAGCCCTAGACCTGAAGGACCAGAGCAGGGCTTCCGTGCCCCAGAGATGCATCCCCAGGCCAGTGGTGCAGTGGCTCTGTTGATGACTGTCCTTTGTCTTCTTGATTAGGCCTGCTCGTGCCAACAGCCAGGGTCCTGCCCCAGCCCAGGAGTATGCCGGGAGAGGTGGGGACCCAGTGCCAAGATGGGAGAGTTGCCAGGCCCTACAGGAAGGAGAAGGGCTCCAAAGACCTCACCTACCACCCAGTTCTCAGACGTCCTGGATCAGGCTTGACTCTCCAGCTTCGTGATGGATGTTTACAGGAACCCAGCCAGAGGTCACCTTTCTGTACTTCACCCCCTACTGCACCTGCCACCCCCACTTAATCTCTGGAAAGGACACGAGAGCTGAGTGGGATGCAAACAGACTCCTACTTAGGCTGCTTCCTCCAGCGTCAGACCCAAGACTGTTGATCACAGTTTCAGGGAGTCACTCTGAAGAAGGATGCACCAGGGTCTAGGGCGGGGCTTAACCTCTCCAGGTTGACAGAACTGAGCTGCCGCACTGGAGAAGGCTGTCTCTGGCTAGAAATCTATTTTTGGAAGTGTGAGTGGTGTGGAAAGTGTGAGTGGTGTAGATACTTGATTTCCTTAAACCTGTAAAAGCAATACTTAGAGGCTGACTTATTTCATTAAAAAAATGTAAGCAACTCCAACCTCTTTTGCCTTCTCTGATTGTTGTTCTTTGTTTGTTTGTTTGCTTTGTTTGTTTTGTTTTGAATCTTGGAAAGGGTACAACATTATGATTGACATTATGATTGGCAAAAAAAGGCAGGTGACCCAGTCTGGAGATACAGGAGGTACTAGGGAACTCACTCTAGAGAGGCCACCTCCTCCCACCTTCTGAAAGCCTGAGTTACGGTGGGGAAAGCTAGGAGACTCTGGAGAACTTGGGCCTGAGTCCCACACATGGAACATATGACACACCTCCATGAACAATGAGGGAGGGACTGGGTGTAGTGGTGCACACATTTAATCCCAGCACTCAGGAAGCAGAGGAGGTAGATATCTATGAGTTCCAGTCTAACCAGGTCCAAAGAGTGGGTTCCAAGCCAGCTACACGATGAGACCTTACCTTAAAAGTTAAAGAATGGGAAAGAGGCTAGGAATGGAATTTGCTTACAAGAATACTTACCCGGCTTGCACAAAGCCCTGGGCCCCGGGACCACATAAAAACAGGCACAGTGGTATGTGCTTATAATCCCAGCAATCCAGAGGCAGAGATAAAAGAATCAGAAGTTCAAAAATGAAAGCAGGAAGTTCTCCCAGAACTGCTTCTCACATCACAAGTGGGACTGGCAACCTATTCTAGCACAGTGTGCCCCATACCCAGAGATCCTTCAAAGGGGTCACAGGCCAAGCTGGTACGTTAACTCCTCTATAAATGCCAAGTTTCTAACGGGAACCACACTTACCCACCCCTTAGACGACACCATGCTAATCACCAGGAGGCTCTCCTCTAAACTGCAGTATTTCTACTCCAGGCTCCAGTGGTATATAGTGCTGGTGTATCCACTGTCCAGGAGCCTTGTGCAGGGCGCAATCTGGCCAGACGCACTTGGCTGCTCTAAGATGCAAGGCTTCCAACACAGGAGCCTTGAGCATCTTGTTCAAGCACGTGTCCTCAGTACACAGCTACACAGTGACTAAGTGAGCTGGTACTGAGGATTAGCCATCCATCCCACACTTACTGAGCACCTACTATGTACAGGCACTTGACTGGGTGTAGAGGGCAGACAGGTGATCACAGCAGAGCAACCCCCTGCTCCCCAGAGTTCACATCCTAGACAGGCAGACAACAAAAGAGATTGTTGAGATCAAGAGTGGGTATGGTACAGGGGGATGAGAGACAGAGAACCTGCCTGAGGAACCATGGAACCCTGTAGGAAGATACAGAGATCTGAGAACATTCCAGACAAAGGCAGGAATAAAACACAGAGCGGAAGGAGTGTAGACCAGGCCGGCCTTGAACTCACAGAGATCCTCCTACCTCTTCTGGGATCAAAGGTATGTGGTACCACACATGACTTTTTTTTTTTTTTTTCAAGATTTGTTTGTCTTACATGTATGAGAGTTTTGCCTGTGTATCTGTCTGGGCACCAAGTTCATGCAGTGCTCGTGGGGTCCAGAAGAGGGCAGCAGAACCCTGTGCCAGGCATTGCTTTCAACTCTTACAATTTTATTTTAAATTTTTATTTATTTTTTAATTTTGTGGGCTGGAGATGACTCAGTGATTAAGAATGTTTGCTGCCTTTTCAGGGGACCTGAGTTCTGTTCCCAGCACCAACATGGAGACCAGCAACAGCCTGTAACTCAGTTTAACTCAGTTCACGCGTGGACAGAAACTCAGAAGGCAGCTTGTAGGAGTTGGTTCTCCATGTGAATCCGGGGATCAAGCTCAGGCCACTGGACTTGCTTACCCCCTGAGCCATTTTGCTGACCTGTTTTACTGATATTTTTGTTTCCACATTGTGTCTTCACATAATCCGGTGAGGAGGACACTCTGCCTATTTTACAGATGGCTAAGGCACAGAAGACACTTGCCTGCATATATGGCGAGATGGAGCTTGAGACCAGGCAGCTCAGCCAAGAGTTGGTGTCACACAGTTCTTGGCTTCAGGAGCCAAGAGGCTTAAGATGCTGCCCAGCACACAGGATCCAGCATTTACTGTGTCCCTGGCACAGTCAGTGTCTTACATAAATGAACCCGTTAAGAAGTGACAGCCCTCGGCAGAGTGAGGAGAGGTACTTTTGGTATCTCCAGAGAGACCAAAGGCAGAGGTAAGGGTCTGCCTACCTGAGTGGCAGTGCCTCTGTGCTGTCCCTTGTGGCCACACAAATGGAACTTTCAGGTGCCACCCCTGAGCCTGAAGCCTCAGCACAGATGCCCTCAGCAGCTGGACATGTCTCCAAGAATCACCCCCAAACAGCCATGCAAACCACCCCGCTAGACCCTCTGGCCCAGTTGCCACTTACTGGAGTGTGGGCCAGTCCTACTGACATCAGGGCTAGCATGCTGGAGCCATACAGATGGCTCTTCTGCCAAGGCGAGGAAGCAAGCTGTCACTGTCCTGATGGAGGGATGGATGGTGCCTGACCTCAGAGGACGCAAGAACATGGGAGCTGGTGCTGCCTGCCCTCTTCAGATAGCTGCAGCTAAGGCTGGCCAACCTGGCTCCAGAACTGCTCCCAGTGTGTAGCCAAGCAGAAGAGGAGAGCACCCCCTTTGTACAATGCTCACTGACTGCTTCAGCCCTTAGGCCTGGGAATCAATAACTTTCCACTGAGTCTCAGAAGCTGCAGAAAATACAGGATGTGGACAGAGCTGGCCTGCAGGGTGTGTGCATGGGCTCAGTGCATGCTCTGTACTGCAGCATGTGGTTAGACAGTGCTCTGCAGACTCGCTGGCTGCTGTGAGCAGTGCACCGATGCTCTCTGCTGGCCCGTGTCTTCTCACTCTCTCCCTCTGTTCTCCCTGGAAGGCCAGCCAGCACCCCTTGGAGAAGTCCCCAGCCCAGCTGTCCCATTAAGGACTCAGGGCTCCCAGCCAGCAACCCCTGTCACAAGCCAGACACACAGGTAAGAGCCTTCAGATGATTCCAGCCAGGCTTCTAGCTGCCCCAATTGACTCAGAGGGTTGGTGGGGCCAGGTGAGCTGTCAGGGGTCAGGGCAGAATAGAAGTGTGGCTGTTTTAAGTTATTGTGGTTTGGGTGGTTTCTTTTGCGTTAGATAACCAGTACAGAAGGTGTCCCCAGATGGAACTTGTGGGATAAACCAGGCTCCATAGCTGCAGTGAGAGTAGCTGGTGCATTTAAAATGTAGTGGGTGTGTGAAGAAGGCAGAGCAGCTCCCAGCGCAGCAGCTCCTGGCCACAGCAGCTCCCAGCCACAGCCTTCCAGTCCTGTAGTCTACCATTTCCCTAGCTCTTGGTTCACGCCAGGATCTCAGCCAGGCCTGACTCAGCCTTGACTGAAGGTTTGTGGAAACAGTGCCACAAGTAGAAAGAGCTGTCATAGACTCCCTGTCACATTGTCACATGTAGAAGTCTGCAGGCCGAGGGCCACCCTGAGTGTCTTCAGAGCGCCCAGCAGGCCCTATCGGGAGCGGCAGGGAAGAAGTGCCTTCTCACCAGGCTGGCCCTGGCCTGGTGGGTGCTTCACTGCTTCAGTTCTGCCCTCTGGCCTGGAATGTCAGAGAGGTCTTCGGCCTCCTGGGTGAAACCGCTGAATGCAGCCCCAGACCTGTCTGCTAGTGCTCAGAACCACCGAATGGGGCTGGCTTCCTACCTGGCCCTGTAAGAGCGTGGAACTGCTCTTGGGGCCTGTAGAAGACCAAGACTTGTGTCCGTCCCTCATCTAGGTAGAGATGACTGTGAGCCTGCAGGGGCAGGGTGACCAGAGGCCGACTCCCTGTAGAAGCGCTGAGTCCACAGTACCCAGTGCAAGGTCCAGCGTGGTCAGTGTCCCCGAGTCCGTGCTGTGGGGGATCAGAAGACACAGGTGAGTCAATGAGCTCCCAGGGGAAGAGCCTTGACAGCAGAGGAGGGGCTGCCAGAATGTGGGGGACAACTGTAACACAGGTCGGGGGGGAATGTGGACAAACAGGGTAAGGGGACAATGGCCTTAATATTGTGGCAGGAAATGTATTAATTTCCTATGAAGATGAACCCAAGAGAAATAGCAAGAAGAAAGACTTGCAAATTTCGAAGGAAGGACTACCCAATACCAAGATAGGGATTATAGAGACCAGCTCAGCCTGTCTTTCCCCAGTCCTTAAGCCTGACCTCAGGGAGGTTCCTTGGCCCAAGTCCCCAAAGTCTGGAGGACACTTGCTAATTTGGAAACAGGATAACTCCAGATGACACATGAACCCAACCAACTTTGCTTGATGCCTTTGGTCCCACCTCACAAGGATACTGACCCCAGTGTCCCTACCCAGTTACCTTGTCCAGAGCACAGCAGGGTCATCTTAGGCTGATCCGGGAATCCAGCTGCTGCAAGTGTTCCTGAACCCCAAAGGGGATAGTAGGTGTCCACATTCTGCAGAGGGGGCATGGAACTTCAGGAGCAGGACTCTCCAGGGCAAGCGACCTACCTCCCACTCTGCATAGAGCCTTAAACACACCCCACCTGGCAGCGCACAGACTGGCATGGATGAACAGGGTGCTACAAGGCCCCTTTTCATCCTGACTTGCTGTGTGCCCTTGAACAGGTCTGTTCTGCCAAATTCTCTTTAGCTGCAAAGTGAATCCTGCTGTGTTTTAGTATGGTCTGTCCTCCACAGGCTCACGTGGTGAGCGCCTCCCCCCAGACTGGGACACTGGTTTGAAGGCATAAGCAGGTCATTGTGGGTGGACTTTTGAAGGCAACAGCCACGCAAGTTCCAGCAGCTGGCTGCTCCTTTCCAGAGTGTGAACAGCTGCAGGCACATACTCTCGCAATCAATGCCTTCCCATCACAATGGACATGGACGGCACCGTGTGAGCCTGCGAGCCCAAATGCACCTTTCCTCCTTTTCCTTGCTTCTGCCGGGCGTTATGGTCACAACGAGAAAGGAATCTAGAGAGGCCACTATCTATCCTGGAAGATGGACACAACTGTGCAGATCAAAGCCACCCGAAGAGCCAAGGGTGCTGGATGTCAAACATCA